CTTTGTACTTTTCTGTACTGCATGTATTTTTTATATAATTCACACTTATTGTTTATACCAAAATAATTACATCCTTATTTTATTAGTTATCTTATAAATGTAAACAGAAATAAAGCAAGAATAGCAATATTAAAGGGAATTAGAACTCAGGCAAAAAATGTACACAGAAAAAAGTAAAAAGTACAATTCACAGTAAAAACAACTGTGAACACTTTATCAACCAAAATATTGTACAGAAAAACAGGCACAGCAAAAATATAAACAATAAAAGAAAAATCATTTGGAAACCATGTGGGAAGGAAAGACTCCATTTAAAATAGCCACAAAAAATGTGAAAGAGCTAGAAGTAAATTTAGCAGGAAAAGTTCAGAATCCACATGAGAAACAATTTAAAACACTTTGTAAGGACATAAAGGTAGACTGAAACAAATGGAATGGCACACCACACTCTGGAACAAGATCAAACATCACAAAGATGTCAATTCTCCTTAGGTTTACCTGTAAATTTGATGTTCTAAGAAACTATCAAATAAGAAATAAGCAAGTTTACTTTAAAGTTCATATGGGAAATTAATAAGCAACAATGGCTAAAAAAGTTCTGGAAAAGAACAGTAACTGAGAATGGGCCAGTCTTCATCATCTGTACCCTGCTTTGCCTAAGAGATCAACCTCTACAGATTAGATTACATAGCTCCTTGTTCTCTAGCTCTGACTGATTTAATCAGTCGGAGGTGCTGGCTTGTGAGTAGAAGGTAAAATATGAAGAGGTCAGGGTATTTATTTCCCTGGCTCCCTCTCTGCTGAGCCACAGTTTTACGGTGCTTGTGTTCCTCTGTGTCAGGTCACTACTCTTATCAGGCAGCCTCTGACCCGGGGACCTTCTCATGGAGACCTAACAACAGCTCTTCTCCTTGCCCCTGCTGGGCAAAGGACAGTAATCGTTTCCTGTTGTTGATAGTCAGTGATTGGTATTATTCTGAATCTAATATCCATTTGGAAAGAGCTAACACCTTTATCATATTGAGTCTTCGAAACCATGAACTTTGTATATCCCTGCACACCTTGGACCTTTTATTTCTCTAAATGTTTTAGAGTTCTCTGTATAGAGGTAATACACATCTTTCATTATATTTACTCTTCATATCTTTAGTAATATTGCAAATTAAATTATTTTTAAGTTCAATTCCTAATTTTTTGCTGGTATAAAAATGCAATTAAATTTTATACACCATGTATCTACCAAGCATGCCAAACTCGTTTATTAATTTAAATAATTTATCTATAAACTATTTTTTCTATGTGAATTAATCATTTTTAGGCAAAAAAAAAAAATAGATTTTTTTCCTTCATTTCCAGTTCTTATATATTTTAACTTTCATTCCTTCTTCACTGCATACTTGTTATTTCTGACTATGTACTGGACATTATTTTGGAAAATTGTAGATATAATTTAAGTACCAATTGTTTTATCATCCTCCATATTACTTTACACTTGCTTCTACTAAATGCCTGGGAACACCAGAAATCCAGATGCATTAGGCAAATTTCAGGATTCTGACAGAAGATTTGTAATTGCACTGTCTTGACCTTCATTTTTTTCATTTTCTGTCAGCTTCATAACTAATTCTAACAAAAATTCTGTTCCGAATTGTAGAATCATCACCTATTCAGGCAAAAGTTTTGGTTATGCAACTTAATTGGTTAGCACTTTATATGCAACTTCTAGGTAAATATATTTAGATGCTCTATATAGATTACAGACACGTACATTATATTGAGTCTTCGAAACCATGAACTTTGTATATCCCTGCATACCTTGGACCTTTTATTTCTGTCAATAATGTTTTAGAGTCAGCACTTTGTAGCCACAGGTTCCACATCCACAGATTCAACCAACAGTTGATCAAAAATTACTTACAGGATACAACATACAATACTTGGGTGACAGGTATCAAAAGCCCAGAGTTCACCACTAAACAATAAATTCATGTAATGGAATCAACTTGTATCCCCTAAATCTATCTATCCAAAAAAAGGAAAGAAAAAATACATACAATAATAAAAAATAATACAAGTTTAAAAACCCAAAACGGTACAATTATTTACACAGCATTTACATTGTATTGATATCATAAGTAATCTAGAGATGATTTAAAGTCTACACAAGGGCCAGGCACAGTGGCTCACACCTATAATCCTAGCACTTTAGGAGGCTGAGGCATGGGATTGCTTGAGGTCAGGAGTTCAAGACCAGCCTAAGCAAGAGCAAGACGCCATCTCTATGAAAAATAGAAAAATTTGCCAAGCATGTTGGTATGTGCCTATAGTCCCAGCTAGTTGGGAAGCTGAGGCAGGAGGATCACTTGAGCCCAGAAATTTGAGGTTGCACTGAGCTATGATGATGCCACTGCACTCTAGCCTGGACGACAGAGCGAGACCTTGTCTCGAAAAATAAATAAAATATATGGGAGGATGTGCATAGTTATGTGCAAATACTATGCCATTTATTTGAGGGACTTGAATATCCATGGATTTTTGTAGCCACAGGGAATCTTGGAGCCAATCCCCTGCAGATACTGAGGGATGACTGTATATACTTATTTATTTATACTATAATTCCAGGCAAAAATGAGTTGAGGTAGTTCACAAAAATATCTCACAGCACACAGCACAATGGGTGACACGGATTAAATATTCAATAAAATATGAATGATTATGAACTTCAAAAGAACAAATCCACACAGAAACAAAGCTAAGTCAACTCCATCATTTATCAATAAGGAAAAATAAGTCTAAATAAGAAAGTGTCTATACTACTTTTTCACAATTATCTTTGTGTGTCTTAAGTACAACATGCAGATTCAATAAAGTGACACTGGTACATCATAACCACCCCCTCCCCATAAAATAAAAATGATGAAGGAAATGAGACACATAGTACATCCAACAGGTAATCCTCATGCAGATAACTCAGGAGAAACACCTCAGACATTCCAACTACTACCCTATAATGAAGGTTTCAAGTCAAAGTCCTCTGCTCCAAACTACCAACTCTGGGCTATTATCCTTCTCTTTTATGAGTCCCAATAATCAACCTCTTATAATTACACATGACTCATTAGCTATTATTCTTTTACTGTTGTGTAAGAAAAGACGCATCTGTGAATATTATTGCTTTATTTACTGTAACTTATAGTTCTTGCAACATATTATTAGTATACAAACTTGGGCAAAATTTAGAGGAAAACACAATTATTATATTCCCATACCCTTAACATTGCACCATATCCTAGGAGGGATCCCATGTTCCATCCCAATAGCCTAGCACCATCATGCTCTAAAATGGAACAGTCTTTGTTGAAATATTTTATGCAGTTCTCGATGCTATATTTTAAGACTATTGACAATATGGAATATAGTCAGAAAGGCAACCCAAAACACTATGTAACGTCTGTGAAACATACATGGAGAATTTGTATGAGAAATACAAGTTGTTAATCAATTAATGAAAAAATAGTCATTGATAACTATCTTCTATCATTGGAATATGTTATAGAACAGAGAATAAATTGTTTTTGAGATTCTCCAGAATATAAAACTAAGATAAACGGGTGGTAATTGTAAAAAGGCAAATTTCAACTCAATATATGAAAAACAATGTTTGAATATTTAAATAATATAACATGAAAATGGCAAACTTGAAAAGTATGAAAAACTTTTAAACTAAAAGTGCCAAGCAAAGACTAAATGCTACACTATCTTATTGGGAAGAAGAAAAGAATAAATGATAATTTTTAAACTTCTTCCAAATCTAAGATTCTATTCCTATTTAGAATTACTTTTCTGACTTCGTTAAATCATTGGCTTAAAAATAATTACACCATGAGATGATATGCCATCCCAACCACTCTATCATCTGTGAAGTTTATACTTTTTCTTATCCTTATGACAAGAAAGTTTTTAAAATGTTATACAAGGAATTTGTTAAAGTTCTAATTCATTTTAATTTTATTAGTTTCCATAAAGATAAATAGTCTCTCATCCAAACTAAATTCATAATGGCATATTTAAATTTACAAAACCATATTTTACCCAGTGGAATTATAAAAAGGACCAGATATACAGCACTAACTTGACCCCCTTACCAATGCCCATTAACATGAAAGAAAAGTTCACAGCCAAGTTTTACCAAAAGAACTCTATGGCTGTGTGTACTAGAATGGCAGTGATTTCCCCCATCTCATATGCACTCAAGTTTTCTGATTTAAATTAAAATAAATTATACAATCAAAGCTTATCATATACCTCTAGAAGCATACCATAAATTTCATGCTTTGGTGCTACCAAAATACATATATACATACATACATATGTGTGCATACATATATATATATATGCATGTGTATGTATTTATGTGTATATATATTAACCTGTGAACCAAGCAAAAATCCTGTCTTGATTTATTCTAACATCATTTTCTGAAAAAGATAATTATAAAATAAATAGTTTTAACATTTTTCAAAACACTTAAAAATACATGCATATCATGCTTACTTTTTCAAGTAATCTCCCTTTATGAGTAGCATTATAAAATCAATTATGTTGATATAGAAAGAATATTTCACAAACTAAAATGATATAGCACATAATAAAATTAAAAGTCCAAAATTGTGATTCTCAGTTATCATTGTTCATTGTAACAATATATCATATAACACATGGCTAGAAATTTTAGAAGAAAACAATGAATGAATGTTTTGTCCTTATTAAAAACTGAAACAAAGGTATTCTTTGACTATGCTCTTCCAATCCTGTGGACACCCTGATTCTGCCAGGTAACTATTTCCAGTTTAATATTTATAATTCCAGATTTTCAATTCATAAACATATATACCCATAGAAAACATACTGTTGTCTTTTTGGAGTGTTAATAATAAACACAAATGCTGTCATTCTGAATAATGACATTTCTATAATGTTAAATTAAAAACTCAATATACTTGCCTGACCAGGGTAATATCCATATCCTTTTGAATAAGTTCAGTCTGCTTATTATTCAACTGTAATGATAGGGCATTATATTTACTCTGTGATATTTCAATTTCTTTCCTTGCTTCAATTAAATTGTCTTCAAAGGCCTAAAATTAGAGCACATATCACAATCAAACATAATAAATATGAA